TCCTCGTTGTACCTGGGGTGGGAGGAGGGGGGACAGGGACGAGGAGCTCGGTCAGCTCCTGGGGAGCGCCCCTACCCTGGGAGTGAGAGCCCACTCCCAAAGAACACCCACCCTGCATTCCAGGAAGGGCCACCTCTCAGGGAATCCTACACTCTTTGAAGTCCACCTCCCTCCAGGAAGGTCTGTGCCTCCCCAAACCCCTCCTCCTGAGAATTTCCATACTCAACCCTCTAAGAAGACCCCCTGAAACCTCTTCCTTCCACCTGCTGGAAGGATCAGCCGTCTGTGGAAAGCAAAGGCTCTGAGAGGCTGGGGTCCAGCTCCTTCTCAATCCCGGCCCAGCTCTCCCACCCCATTCAAGGCAAGCATCCAGGGGAGGGGAGGGGAGAGGAGAGGTCTGGCTCTCTGCTCCCTGGAGCCTGTTTCTGTGGGTCTACGCCCTAAACTTGGCATGGGCTCCCGGCTGTGACACCGTAAATGCCCACAGTAGGATGTGGAGCCACGAGTGCAAGCCCAGACTTTCCCAACAAACCGAGAGACCCTGGGCTGAGCAAGGCCTGCCTGCTGTCCCTTCCCCGGGGCTCCCTGGAAGAGGAATGAGCTCTGCCCGCAGATGAGTCTGCCAGGCGCCACCTCCTTGGGGGCCCAGCCATGACTCCCCTCACCTCCCTGGGGCCAGGCTCACCTCCAGATGTCATTGAGCTCTGTGGGAACCAGCTCCCCGGACTCAGTCTCCAGCGTGGCAAAGCCGCCAATGGCATAGAGGGTCCCCGCCAGGCTGACCAGGCCGAGCGAGCTGCGCTCCTGTGGGAAGGCCTCAAAGGGCGTCCACCTGGCGGGGAGGAGGGTGTGTGAGGGGGTGTGTCACCCAGGGGGCCTGTCCCCGGCCAGCACCCACAGCTTCAGCTGCACCCTTCGAAACCTGACTCCCAGGCACCCATGCTCCCAGCACAACCTCCTGTTTCCTGACCTCTCAGTGAACACCTTCTGGTCTTTACTTCTTCTGCATTCTCTTGCCCCTCCCCTTTCCCTTCACTGTCCCCTTGTCATTCCATCCAACTTGCTGCATGACATCCACCAGGGATAGCCCCAGTGTCCCACCTTCGCTCCTGTACCAACTCTGGCTTCCTCAGTCCCTCTTCTCCCCTTCGTGGCCCAGGACTCTCAGGCTGTCTTCCCTCCTCTCCCCTGGCTCCTGAAGTCAGGCCTTCATCCCACCCTCCAAAACTGCCCTCAGGTCCCCAGCCACCACAGGGCTTTGGAAACCAGAGCCCACGGTCCGCTGACTGTGACTGCTGACAGTCGGCTGATATGACTTTCTTCCCTCCCACCTCTGAGCCTCACTTCCTCAGACTCCTTCCTGAATAATGCATCTGCCCTGCCATCCTTGACGGCTTGGAACTCAGCTTCTCCCTCTGACACCCTCTCTCCTGAGGGAGCTTGTCCCCTCCGCGTACTGTTGACCCCTACATCTCACCCTCCAGCTCAGCCTCGTCTCTGCCCCAGTGGGCTCCTCCTGGACACCCTCAGGCACCCCAAATGCACGTGTTCCCAACTGGACCCTCATTCTTCCTACCTAACTCCAGTGGTTCTTTAATCAGTGACCTCCCAACCTCACTCAAAGGCATCCACCTCTCCCTCTCACCCCCTACCATTCATTCAATTACTAAATCCTTCGTCTTCTATCTCCTAATCTCTTGCAGCTGAGTGTGGTCCACGGATCACTGGCAGCATCAGGATCACCTGGGGATTTACCTAGGTCCCTCCCCAGACCTGAGAATCATAATCTGCATTTTAATATGATCCCCAGGAGATTAGTGCACACGTGTGAAGGCCCAGCCTAAGTCTTTCTCCAGTGCAGCCTCTCTGCCCCATCCCTGCCATACCCTCAGCTCCAGGCCACTGTCACCCCTTGCTATACAGCTGCACCCCTGCCTCCTGGGAAATCCCTAATCTCTTCTGTATATCTGCTGCCATGAGGCATCTTAGTAAAACACAGATGAGAGCTTAAAACCTTTCAGAGGCATTTCATTACTCTCAGGATAAAGTCCCTCAGCCTGCTCACCACCTCTCCAGCCCAATACCCAACACCTCCACCTCACCTCGCCCACCACACTCCATCTAACCTGACCCACGCCCTTTCCTCTAGTGGGCCTGGCTTTTTTCTCCCAACTATCTTGGTACCATCCTTCCTTTGCCTGGGGTATCCTTCTCCCACCAGCCCTTTTAGCTGGCTGAATCCACCTGGTCCACAGCTCAGTTTTCTTTGTGCCCTCCCGAGGCTGAGCAGCTTGTGTCTTGGTCACTGCTGTTTCCCTAGCTCCAGGCCAAAGCCTCGTATGAGTCTCTGAATGAGGAATGTAGCGTCACCTCCCCTACTCCTAGGCACTCTCTTCTACAGACCAGACTGGCCATAACCCATACCCAACCTGGTAGGGAGAACGAACCCACTTCATGGTTGATCAGGGTAGAGGGGCTATTTCTGTGCTGATGTTCAAGTGCAACAGTGGAGATCCAAGATGAGGCGGACACAGAGAGGGCCAACATAGGCCCAAAGCCACACAGCCAGGGAATTACAGTGGGGCCCTTCATCCCTGGCTGTACTGGGGGTGCTGGGGGAAAGTGGAGTAGCCATACTTGTTGTCCGCGATGCTGTACACCTCAGCTGAACTGGTCAGCCCTGTGTCTGTGACCCCCGCGGCCACAACAATGTGGCCATCATGGATGGTGGCCCCAAAGAGTGAGCGGGCGGTCTGCATGGGGGCCAGATCCTTCCACTCGAACTTCTTGGGGTCATACACGCACATCTTGTTCAGGCACTTCCTGTTGGGTAGGAGGCAGTGAGTGAGAGGGAGGAGCAGAGCGGCCACTCAGGGCAGCCGCACTCACTCCAGGCGCCAGCCTCACCTGTCGCTGCCTTTGCCGCCAATGACGTAGACAAGGTCCATGTGGGAGAGCACTGCGTGGCCGTACACGGCGTAAGGCAGCGGGTCTGATTCGCCCCATTTGAAGGACCTGGAGCGGAGGGGAGCAGGGCGCTGTCAGTCCGCATCTCTGCATGCATCCACCGCCCAGCGCACATTGGGGCGTACCCGATTCGGTACCGGAACCCCCAGACCTCTCAGCTCCTCGCTCCCACCCCACCTGCCAACCGCCCCGGCCCTGCCCAGGCCGCCTCCGCCCCGAGCCTCCGGGACCCCGCCCGGTCCTCAGCCCCGCCCC